TCTGATTGGTTGAGAGAATGGTGCGAGTTGTCCGGACCAATCACAGAGCGCTGAAAAGCAAAACCAACGTCAGTCTGGATTACTTTTGACATTAAATGGAGATTTTTGGTAATTACTTTCTAAACTTGGATGCATATAACCAGCTTTTACTTTGTGGTGGAGTTTTTCGTTCCCTTGTTGTACACGTTTTTCGCGTACGCAAAGATCGCTGTAAGTTTATGGAAAAGAAGCAAAAATGAAACGATTCACAAGGCAGTTGCCAAGGCCAAAATGAAATCAACTCGGTTGATGGCCGCTGCTTTCGTAGTTTTGGTGTTCTGTAGGCCGCCAATCTTAGTATTGCAATTACTGGAGGTATATAGAGTATTTGACAACCGATCATTTAAAAATACATTCTTAATTTCTATTTGGTGCGCAATGGCGCAGATATCCAGCTCTTCTCTAAGCCCTGTCATCTACACATTCCTGAGCCCTGAGTTTAGGACAAGCGTTCTCAAACACTGTTGCTTTTTTTGTTCTCGTCGCGTGTCTACTCGTGGTCATCAACATTGTCCTTTAGGTCGCGTGGAGCCTGTCACCTGACACAGACGAATCAATGCGGAAAATCATCAGAACATTAAGTTTTCCGCGTATGTACTCAGTGCATGTCTATTTTTGGAGTCACTTCGCAGGGGACTGAGTACAGAGAGCGACTAACGACAAGGGTTAGGCCGAAGGACTAAGACACACCACTATTTTGGCTCAGGACACGTGGAGTCTGTTATAACCTACAAATATTAGCAAGTTTGTGTACGCACTGCATGCCTACTTTTTGATTGGGCTCCGCTGACCAAGTGGGAACAACAAGCGCTCAGAGGGAGTGACTAGTGACAACAATGGAGTGCAGGGGATCCCTTCCATGTTTGGACCTTCTCCTCTTTTAGCAAAAAAAACCCTGGTTGGTCTTCTTTGCGTTTCTCACATGTATGAAATGCTCAAGATGGCCTTCCTAATTTCAATGCCGTACCTGGCCGAAAAATATTTACGTCCTTAGACCGACCAAAATCAGCTTCTTAAAAACTAAATTGGGGTTTTTAAGTGAGTATCGTCTTAAATTCCAAAAAACTGTTTACCAATGGATCCAAAGAAATCTAATGAGAAGCAGGAGAGGCACGCACTGCAGGCTTTT